CAAAATTGGACTTCAGATTGCGCTTCGTTTGAGCCAGCCACGGCGCTCATATGCCCCAAATCATTTTTAAACACTAATGGCATAAAATTAGCTTTCCAATAAAGTCAATATCATGGCCGTTAATATGATTTTTATGAGTTTCATTCCAGTTCAAAGCTCTATACCTCTAAAAAAAACACCCATTACATCTTAGTTATTCCAAAAGATCGAGTAGCAGATATATTAAAAGAAATACATGACGGAACTACAGGGGCACATTTTGGAGTTAACAAGACTTTGGACTAAATCGAGTACGTTTTCACTGGGTCCACTATCAAAGAAATGGTAAAAAGTAGTGTCGAAAATGCGACATCTGTGCTACCAGTAAAGGCACTAAACTAAGATCTCGGGGGCCCATGAAACAGTACAACGTCGCTCTCCTATTTGAAAGAATAACGATAGATGTAGCCGGTCTGTTCCCTGAGTCAGAGCGTGGTAACCATCTTAGTTATCATGGTTTACTTCAATAACTGACCAGAAGTTTTCGTTATTCCCAATCAAAAATTCATCACTATTGCTCAGGTGCTAGTGGACGAAGTTTTTAGTCATCATGATGTGCCACTAGAGTTACATTCAGATCAGGGATGAAGCTTCGAATCTGCCATCTTTAAAAAAAGGACCCCGCAATATTTAAATGGAAATTGGTTACCCGTGATATTTGAATGAAATTTAAATATGTTGTTGGGGATGCCATAAGCAACATTTTTTACCATGGGCACAACCCTGTATATATGACAGGTGTGGCGTGGTTAGCTGTCAAATATTGGAATCTTATATCCAAAAGCAGAGTCACTATGGCAGATTTTGATGAACTAAAAATTTATTTATACTAAGTCGACCAAGTCAAGTTGAAAAATGTCAACCATTATGACACCTGTCAAAACCCTGCCAAATTGCAGCACTCATCTTTTCCATTTTTCAATATTTCATGATGTCATTTGACATTTTTTACTTGTATGTAAATTCTGAATTCAAAAATTGAAAAAAAAAAGACAGAACTGTCAAAACCTGTCATTTGTTTTAGAAGAAAAAAATACTTTAATTTGATTCTTTTTTGTTTCAAGGTAGTTTATTGGTGATGAAATATTAAACAACATATTTAAATTTCATCCAAATATCACGAGTAACCAATTTCCATTTAAATATTGCGGGGTCCTTTGTCAGATCATTGGAATTCGTAAGACAAGGAGAACACCTTTACATCCACAGTCTGATGGCATGGTAGAACGATTTAATAAGACTATAGAGGAACACCAAGACAAAAGTAGTTACAAAGGACCAATGAGATTAGAACAAACATTTGCCTCTATTTTTAATGGCTTACAGAGCAGCTGTTCACGAGTCAACAAGTGAAAGTCCAGCTAGAATCATTTTTGGAAGGCAGCTCAGGCTACCTTGCGATCTGATGTTTGGAATACCTGAAGAAGAACGAAAAGAAATTCGAGATTATGCCGACGAAGTAAGGGCACGATTTCTGGGGATACATGATTAAGCTCGGGAGCATATTCAGCTGGCCAGTGACCGAATGAATGCCAGATACGTGTTGGAAACAAAATCCAACACCTTTATTTTTATTGAAAATATTGAATTTTTAAATATAGTTCCTCAACATACTTGGTAGGAGTCGCTGCGATCTCAATTTAGACGAAGCACTTTTGCCACCTTTTTTGTTCTGATGACAGTATAGTTGTCATTCCGCCATGGTAAATGATAAGCGGTGATTTTTTCTATATGCAGTAATAGTATATTATTCAACGCGCGGGTAATGATGACAGGCGAGTAGTGTAATCATCCGAGTGAGTAATAGCCATTACCCACGAGTGGAATATACTATACTTTTTCTATGGCCCATAGATAATACGAGTTATGCAGTTTTTTATTCAATTTTCGTAACAAAATTAATTGACAATTCTGACAGCTGAAGGACAAAGTGTGGTTAGGTTAGCACAAGTCTTGTCCAAATCAGCTTTCAAAATGACCGATTGGAAGGTTGAAGTATGTTGTCAACTTGTTGAATTTTCTTATTGGCTTTTAAATAGTGGAATAATGAGACCAGGATATTTTCATAGGTTGAAAACAATTGAGTAATGAAAAAAAAAACTCATTGTCTGAGTAATCATTCAGATTGATCAATAGAAAATGTTATTCAATACTCATAGAAATGTTTTATCTGCAAATTTTGCTATAATAAAATAATGAACAATTAAGTTCATTAATTAATAAGTACCGGTAATTGAATTGCCTGTTCTGAGTTATAATTTGTGCGGTGAATTAAAGGTAAAATAAATAAACTACATATCTAGTGCTTTTTCTCTTTGATGCTTTCAGCCATACCAGAGGATTTACAGTTTTAGAAGTCGAAGGAACAATTTAATTTTCAAATACAGAAAAATCTGAACAATACGACTTGAAACAATTCAGCCGTATTTCAAGAAGGTGATTTGGTCTGGTTGTATAATCCAACAAGAAAGAAAGGAGTATCGCCGAAATTGTCTTCAGCATGGGAAGGACCCTAAAGAATAATCAAGAGGATTAATGATTTGGTTTAGCGAGTTCAGCGCAACACCAGGAGTAAAATGAAAGTTGTAGGTAAATTTGGACAGATTAACGAAATATCATGGGCGCGAAGTTGATCGGGACGATCAACCATAAGAGCAGGGTAATGTCACGAAATGTGGCCCTTCCGCCAGGGTGTACAGAACAGATTCGGGAAAAAAGGTTATGGCATTTATTCTGGATTTTACAAGAATAGATTACGGATATATGAAGGCCGGTATTAGATAGTGGTTTAAGTTTAAGATTGGCTGTGATATGATTTAGATAGTGAATATTGTAATAAAGAGTTAAGTTGTTTGAGTTAATTAGTGAAGTAATGAGTGTCAAAGTGTAACGTAGCACTCTTCAAAACAAACTTGTATCCATCCTTGGTCTTTTCTATTTTGCTTGCCATAATAGGTTTCTATGTTGGAGGTTTGGCTTGATAAATAGTTTGGTTTTTCATTCCTAGTGCAAATCAAAAGTCGATAGGATTATTTGCTCTTGTATGCTTATAGCCTTCCAGACCTCCTGAGATCCAACATTTCATTATTTTTGTGCTTACCCAAAACTAGAAACATTTTTCTATTAATGATCATTATCCCAAATGAACTATCAAAAAAATCTATCAAAAATACATATTGGCAAGCATAAAAATTTAAACTGATATTATAGGTATTACGATTGCAAGTTCCTGTAAAAAGGCATGCCTATAAGGAGGGAAACCAGTATAAAGGCAGAAGAGAAAACCGATTGTATAATAAGTCGGTGTCGCGTATTCAACCCAGTGATAATTTCAGTTTAGGTAAATTTTATTTGAGTATACCAAGAAGGTGAATTTTTTTTTACATTTCATATGAGAGTAGGTATTGTTAATTGTCTGTGATGGGAATTTTGGAAACCAATTTTTTATCTGATTTTTCCATTTTGGGAAACAAAGTTTTTTTTTCATTTTTTCATAAGCCCTTTTTTAATTAAAATATATTAAAAAAGAAATTAAATAATAGCATTTATAGGCCCAGCTAAAGAATTGCAATTGTAACTTTAGAAATTTTCTTAATCAAATATCTTGTAAGTAGAGAAACATCTAAATTTTTCAAAATTTTCGGCATAGAAATATTTTACGTGGATAATACTTTTGTGAATATTTATAAACAAGGAATAAGGAAACAGCGTAAGTACCTACCAAAACTGTTAAAAGCGAAAGTGACCATTTATCGAGAAAGCAGGCCATATTATAATGGTTTAATCAGATGATGTTTATATAATACATATTGTAAGATTTAGCTCAATCTTCAGGGGTTATTTTTTTTTAAACGACTAGGAAAAAAAAAATGTCAATAACCAAATTTTGGTCTTGCAGGAATAAATATTAAACCCAAAGCCCTTCAAGCATGCTTCTTATTTTCATTGGCGTAGCAAGGTTGTACGGGGCCCCGCCCGGTGCAAATAAATTGCAGAGGCCCCCCAGTAAATGATTCTTTATAATTTTTAATTTGCTAAAGAAGCGTTCAACCAGTGGCAACTGTCATAGGCAGAGTGAAAAATAACAAAATGCCCCATATACACTTGAGATTTGACTTGAGATGAGTCGCTTTCTATTATTCCAAATATTTCAAGTATTAATTCAAAATATTGCCTGATGCTCATAGAGTCGTTTAGATGGTCCTTGGCTAAATTAATAAGGTGAACATAGTGGGGTATTAGAGAATGACTGACTAATTTAGAGTCTTTGATAGACAATTTGTTACATTTTTCAAAGATTGTCGATTCAGGAGAAGTAAGAATGCCTTAAAAAGTCAAAATAATCTTCAACATATTCCATACCAACAAATCTGTGTTATAGTTGACCAACTACTTCGTCAATTACACGATAATAAATAGTCACTTTAAATTTAGTTTCAGAGCTCTCAAATCTGTGGTCGTTCGTGAGTTCATCGAAATGCTTTTTATGTCGGACTTGCCTTTTTTCTGGAAACACTGGATTAATAATTCCACTTTCTTGCTAATTCCACTGCGACTGCTTCACCATAATTTCTTCGTATGAATCTCTTAGCTTTACATACATTATTTCGAACTTCTTTTAAAACTTTTGTCCCTGTGAGTTTTTGCTAGTAGGTATATTTTTGGTACAAATTTGCGCGTGGCTTCGGGGCCCCTTTACCACCGGGGCCCCGGGGCGCCGCACCGAATTGCCCTACGATAGCTACGCCACTGCTTATTTTGCCCTATGAATAAAAATCCAATTTACTTAAATCGGGAGGCCCTGCATAACTAGTCTTAACACTCTCAACATGGTATGTGCTCTCAAGCAACCAATGAAGTGTTTGTGATAGTTTGCAGCCATTCCTATACGATAATGCTGCTATAATGTAGGTCAAATGATGAGCTGAATCCAGTTTACAATAAATATTCCTATATTGTTAATGGTATTAGATGGTGGTCGGTGGATCTTGGAGCAAATTCTGATGATGATTTTCCAGTATTCTGGATTCTGGCAGAATAAAACTTTTTTTCTTCTAGATATGTTGGAGTTAGCTTTATTACTGTCTATAGTGATTCTGGGACTGCTAGCATATCTTGACACGAAAAAACCGAAAAAATTCCCACCTGGTCCGAAATGGTATCCCATAATTGGCAGCGCGCCCCAAGTTCGAGAATCCAGGTCCAGATGCGGTTCTTTATATGAGGCCACTGCTGAAATGAGTTTGTATTATGGACCTATACTTGGACTCAAGGTAAGAACTTAATGCAACCATTCTTATAAAAATCAAAATCATTTAATTCTATACAGATCGGAAAAGACGCAATAGTAGTAGTATACGGACCTCAAGAAATCAAAGAACTTTCCCTATCAGAAGATTTCATAGGAAGACCGATTGGGTCGTTTTTCGAAATGAGAACCTGGAATAAAAGAAGAGGTCAGTTAGATTTAAAAATTAAACATTGATTCAAACAATATATTGTAGGAATACTGTGCACTGACAATGAATTCTGGCAAGAACAAAGACGATTTCTAGTCAGACATTTGCGAGAATTCGGTTTTGGCAGCAAAAATATGTCGGTTCTAGTTGAAGAAGAAGTCTCGCATTTGGTTGACTTTATTAATACCACTTTGAATAATGAAACAGGTAAGATTTTGACTACTTAATTAAAAAACCCAAATCTTCAATTGTCCTTTTGTAGGCTCTGCCATATTTAATATGGAAACTTTGTTCAGGGTAAGCGTTTTGAATACCCTTTGGCAAATGATGGCGGGAGTCAGATATTCTCCAGAGGATCATAAAATGAAAAAATTGCAAACGATTTTGGCTGAATTGTTTCAAACTGTGCATATGGTTGGCGCACCATTTAGGTAACTTTTTGTTCATTTTCTCTACATGTTTATCAAAATTGAATTTGTAGTCATTTTCCAGTCCTCAAATACTTAGCCCCAGAAATGTCAGGATACAACTGCTACATAAATTCACATTCGAAAATTTGGGAATTTTTACAAGAGGAGATTAATAATCATAAAAACTCTTTTAGTCCGGATCATCTTAGAGATTTGATGGATGTTTATCTTAGTGTTGTGAACACTCCTGATCATGGTAAGAAATATGCGATACCAATATATTCTTCGAAGTTTCAAACTCTTGCTATATATTGAAACATCATCGTTGTTCAGGTGACTCTTTCTCAGAAGAACAGCTACTAGCCATATGCCTGGACATGTTCATGGCAGGTTCAGAAACCACAAACAACACGCTCAGTTTTTGTTTTCTGTATTTGGTATTAAATCCAGATATCCAAAAAAAAGCCCGCCAGGAAATCGATGCAGTTTTGGGCGACAGAGCACCTTGTCTCTATGATCGACCAAAGTAAGAACTTGCTTTCGCATGTTTCAATTAAACATTATTTTTTTTTGAAGTATGCCTTACATGGAAGCGATTGTATTGGAAGCTCTACGCATGTTTGGATGTAGAGCATTCGCTGTACCGCACAGAGCGTTGAAGAATACATATCTTGGTGGTTATTTGATTCCAAAAGTAAGTAAAATTATTTTGAAAAATGTTTGAAATAAAAATAAAATCTATCAGGATACACTGGTCACAGCAAATTTACACGGTTGCATGATGGGACCAGATTCCGGATTTGAAAAGCCCGAGCAATTTATTCCAGAACGATATTTGAAGGATGATGGGAAAATATCGGTGCCCGAAAATCATATACCATTTGGTCTAGGAAAAAGAAGGTAAAAAAAAAATCTTTCAAAATGTCAACTTATGTGAAAAGGTCCTGGTTAGATAAGATTATACATTCTGATTTTTAATTAAATGTGACATATTTTTGTTTTAGATGCATGGGAGAATCTTTAGCAAGAGCCAACGTTTTCCTATTTACAACGACAATTTTACAAAAGTACGAAATCCACATGGTTCCGGAATATCCACCAGATATGAAAATAGTTGACGGTGTAACACCGGCACCCATTCACTATAAAGCAAAAATTACACATAGGTCATAAGAATTTAAGAAAGTAATATAGAAGTTTATATAGGTATAAAGAAAATATTTTATTTCAGCTCTTGCTCTTTTGTTTTTTTTATCCTTTCTGATCCATGTAAGCTTCTGATGCTTTTGCACTTGCTGCAGCTACGATTTCTAAATCAAGACCTGAAACGACTTCTGATGCTTGATTTTCCTCTACGTAGATTTTTGCGCTTATCTTCCGCAATCATACTGTTTCCTGCATTTGGTTCTGTGGTTTCTAATTCTTCAACTCTAGACTATCTCAGACTGATTTGGACTGATAAATGGCTTTCATTTTCGACTGATTGTTTAAATAGTTTTTGGTCCCATTATGAACTCGCGTTATTCCGATACGTTGACCTAAAACCCTCTCCCGCTATTTCTAAGAAATATGTAATTATTTATTCAACCGAAGATGTCACAATTTCCTTCCTTGATTATCGGGGTCAATGGTGTAAAGATCCCAAAAAGGGGGCCATAAATTTTATCAGGAGTATTCAAAATATTATGGAATGTAATTCCACAAGAGGTTTCAGGATTACCGGATAATACTTTCACCTGATACGAAACGCGTTACGCAGCAACACCACGACTCCTTCGGAGGAGTGGTGTTGCTGGTAACGTGTTGAGTGTCAGGTAAAAATATTAGGTAGTCCTGAAACATGGAGTGGTATTCAAAAGTTTATACAACGAACTAAACTTTAATACACCATGCTCGATAATCCCAAAAGGCTTATCACTTATTAAGCCTCTCGTGTCATATATGGGAATAATGTAATTAATGTACAGTGAGTTGTATAACTTTAATACACCAAGCGCGATAATCCCAAAAGACTTATCACTTATTAATATTCTCGTGTCATATGGGAATAATGTACAGTGAGTTGTATAATCGACTAAAGCCATCGATAGAGGTCAAAAGTTAATCTATTATATACGGACCCCCCTCTAGAGTCATCAGTTATTTTCACAGAAGGCGGTCCGAATGAAATAATTACAAAGCATAAAACATCACGAGATTAATTACAAGGCTAACTTGTTTAATTGTGTACACGCGTTGTCGGCGCTTTTGTATAGCGGAAACGCCAACCCGATTTTGGGACATATTTGACTCCGATAAATACCTACTAAATTAGGACAGGCAGGTGCAGGGTCATTTGGAGATAACCATTCCTAGAAATAGTGGCGCTGAACTTAAAATCACGCGGAGATTTATGGTGGGATTGAATACTATTCAAACAGATTACAATGAGAGGAAGAGACAATTACAATCAGATTTAGAATCAGCAGTTGATTCATAGTAAGATAGTAGAGAACAGTAGAAATTCGCAGTGATTTGAGTGTCCTCCAAAAAGTTTTTATCTTTATTTCTGTTTCGAGCACAAATTGAATTCGCGATTTAATTGACTATATTGACAAGTTAAGAAGTTAGAAGTAAATTCAAATCTTTTATTCGATTTTGTGCGTGCTAAGCAATTAAAAAAAAAATACTTTGATAGTTAGAGCCAGTTTAGTGAAGTTGAGGACAATTATTGTAAGTAGTAAGTACATATAAGATAAGACTTTTTATTTGAATTTAATTGCAATGACTATGATTGTGAATTGACTATGGAACATTTTATTGACTTTAAGTGAAATGACTTTTGAATATTTCTGCTAAGAGTTTAAATAGGGAATTATAATGCACTTAATGATTGCCTATTAGGAGAATGAATTGAATTCGACTATTGAATATTATGGGCTCTAGTAGCAAATTGAAAGAATTTAAATAAAATGAGTCCACATTGACTTGGATTTTGAATTGTTCTGGTTAAGTTAAGGGTTGCCAACTTTTGAAATTGGTTCCCCCGGAGATTTTTCCGCTACTGAAATAAAATTGGTGTTTCCCAAAAATGTTAATTAAAACAGCAAACAAATATATTTGATTATTTGTTTGGTAGTCTTTGAAATGGGAAATTGTTTAATCGCAGATATTTTATCTGGATTGAGTTTTACGCCTTTTGGGGTAACATGTCCTAGATAGGTGACTTATCTCTTTGTAAGAATTCGCTCTTATCAAGTTGTATTTTACAATAATTGGAGTCTTTAAGTCGTTGAAAACGGCTTTTATGTTTGTATGTTTTGAAGTAAAATTTTAGGTTTTATTAGACAAACACTAACTAGTCCAAGCGGGTCAGATATTTGGGCTATTGTGGACAGAATAATTCGTTTGGAAACTTTCTGGGGTATATTAAAATTTTCATCAGCGAGGGGAATGTTTTTTGGCAAAGGGATTTGAATTTTTTGAAATTCAAAAATGGCAATTTTTCAGTAATAACTGGCAAAACTAAGAATGTTAGTTTAATTTGAAAATTAGTGAATCGCGATTTTATTTTAGCTTGAGTTTTTTCGTGAACATTCATAATTATTTGGTTTATATACCTGCTAAAGGAGCGCGTATTTCTTCAGAATCCAACATCAGCCTTTCGCGAAGTTCGCTGGTCATTAAATTGGATTGACTTCCATAATCTAACAAAGTTACGCATTCATGCAACTTTCCAAATTTATCTTCGATTAACACCACAGCTGTAGATAGAAGAACTTGACTGGCATTAACATTAGCAAACGATAAACCTTTCAATCGACAGCGAAGCACTACATACGGACTACAAATGACCGTCTCATATATGCTAAATCTTTTCGCCATTCTCCTGCCATGCTGCCCAAAATTCAGAGCCAAATTCAAAAACTTTTGGACAATAAAATTATTCAGCTATCTATATCTCCTTATTCTGTCCCTGTTTGGATTTTCCCAAAAAAGGCTGACGCCTCTGGGAAACAGAAATTTAGATTGGTCATTGATTACAGAAAACTCAATGAAACCACTATCGAAAATAAATACCCCTTGCCAAGAATAGAAGAAATTCTCGATAACCTTGGAAAATGTACTTCTTTTACAACTCTCGACCTGGCTCAAGGTTTCCACCAAATTGAAATGAGCCCTGATTCCATAGAAAAAACCGCGTTTACAGTTAACAATGGTCATTTCGAATACCTAAGGATGCCCTTTTGTTTGAAGAATGCTCCAGCCACATTCCAGAGAATGATGGACGAAATTTTGAGAGAGCATCTATACAAATTTTGCTTTGTATATATGGATGACGTCGTAATTTTTTCTAAGTCCCTTCCTGAACATATCGATCATATTAAAAAGATCTTCAAAACACTCCGAGAAGTCAATCTCAAAGTACAGTACAGTACAGTACAGTACTGGATAAATCCGGATTTCTATCCAAAGAAGTAGCTTTTCTAGGTCACATAATCACCCCTGAAACCAAATTCTTCTAAAATAGAAGCCATCCAAAGATATCCAATACCCAAATCCACCAAAGAAATCAAATCGTTCTTGGGCCTCGTTGGTTATTACAGAATATTTATCAAAAACTTCGCCAAAACAACTTTCCCAATAACGAAGTGTCTATAAGAAAGGGTCACGAAAAACATATTGGCAACCAAGAATACCAAGAAGCCTTCCTGAAGTGTAAGGAATTAATTACCAACTCCCCTGTACTCCAATACCCTGATTTTACTAAACCTTTTAAACTAACTACCGACGCCTCCAACATAGCCCTCGGCAGTGTACTTTCTCAAAACGAACATCCTATTGCATATTATTCAAGAACCTTAAATTCCGCTGAACGAAACTGCTCAACCATCGAAAAAGAACTTTTGGCAATAGTCGATTCTACAAAACACTTCCGCCCCTATTTATATGGCCAAAAATTCGTGGTTGAAACCGATCACAACACCCTTGTCTGGTTATCAAAAGTAAAGGAACCAAATTCACGCCTTATTCGTTGGAAATTGAAATTGGAAGAAGGCAAAGAAAATGTAGTGGCCGATGCCCTATCACGTATCGACATAAATATTTTCGAAAAAAAAAAATTCTCAATAGCCCCCAACACTGATAACACTGTAGCTAACCTCGCCGACTTCGATCTTGCCGACTTTGCTCTAAACGAAAGATATAATGAAATCATATCCGAAACCGTAATTCCACCTCAACCTAGAGACGATGAGCCAGATTCAAATGCTACAGTACATTCCAACAACGACACTGAAGGAAAATATCTCCCTATTTCCGAACTACCCGTAAATTACGCGTTTGATTATAGATTTCGGAGATAAATTCCTGCATAAATTCACAAAACCATTCAAAAAGAATCATCATCTTATTCCAATCGAAAAAGACAAACTCCCGAATAGTTTCAATAAAATCCTGTAAGAAATAATTCGACCCGATGTAAATTCTGTCTCATACATATCTAATTCCGATTTAAAACGAGAATTCCAAAAATATATTGCCGAAAATCTAAATGCTTCTGCCAAACTTCAAATCTCAAATATTTATTTGACAGATATTGAAAATCAAGAACAACAAAAAGATATTGTATCCGAGTACCACCAGAAGAATCATAACGGCATAACAGAAACCTATAACCAACTAAAACAAAAATACTACTGGCCCCAAATCTGAGCGCGAAACCATAACAGCTCTAATTAATACCTGTGAAATCTGCTTATAAAACAAGTATGAAAGGCACCCGTATAATAGTTATTTACCTAACAAATGCGGAAAGTGATACTTTACCGCACGGCAGTTGACCGAACGACGCGAAGCGGAGTTCGGTCAAGCCGTTAAGGGCGGTAAAGGCACTTTCCGCATGTGTTAGGTACAAAATTTTACCTATGAGCATCTACATCTCCAAAAAAGGGCATTGATAAAATTAATTATTGAATCAGATTAATTAATGAAATTAAATTAGATTTAGAAATTATCAAAAATCCATTTTCTGGAAAAAAAAAGGATTTTTGATTATAAATATCAAATTCTACTTTACCGCACACTATGCGGTAAAGTGCACTTTACCGCACACTTTGTAGTCCACTTTACCGCATACTATGCTGTAAAGTTCACTTTACCGCACACTATGCTGTAAAGTTAACTTTACGGCATAGTGTGCGGTAAAGTGCTACTTTCCATTTGCAAATACGTGCGGTAAAGTGCACTTTACCGCACGCTCGTAGGTAAAATAAATTACGAAGGTCCATTGTTAGCAGAAAAACCATTCAACACCATACACCTTGATATAATTCAATTTTCAAATTGTCAGTTTTTAACTATCATAGATTCTTTCTCTAAATACGCCCAAGCTTACTACGTTTCTGACAAAAATGCCACCACAATAATTAACAAACTCAGGCATTACTTTTCTCATCACAGTACTCCTAAAAAGATTGTCGTAGATCAAGGATCAGAGTTTAAAAACCGCTTGTTTCAAGAATTTTGTCAACTCTTTTATATAGATCTACACTACACGACTCCTGGTAATTCAACATCAACTCAAATAGTATAATAGAACGATTGCACTCTACCCTATTAGAGAAATTGAAAACCCAAAAAATGAAAAATCCAGAAGAATCTCCCCAGAATTTGATGATTTCAGCTGTATTAGTATACAATCAAAGCATCCATTCCACAACAGGCTTTTCACCTTTCTCTTTATTATACGGACCCTATTTTAACGAACCAAACATAAATAATGATTTGACTATATACGAACAATACAACGAAAAACGAAAAAATGAACTAATACCGTTTCATAAAAAGGTTTTTGAAGAAACTCACAAGACCCAATCCAAAAACACTCAAAAACAAAATGGAAATACTAGTTCCATTCCCGAATTAACAGAAGGACAAACTATTTATAGGAAAAACCCCTATAGAAATAAAATGAACCCTTCTTTTATACCCACGAAAGTAAAGACTCTTAATAAAAATACTTTTACTGGACTTTCTAAGAAAAAGCAAGTAACAGGTCATTTTATAAAAATTAAGAGAATAAGGAAAAATCCTTTATCTTTTCAGCCTAAACCAAACCCCCAGGATCAACCCTCTACAAGTAGATCCCCTACCGAATAATGGATACTATGCTGAAAAAATAGCACCCACAATGATTTTAAACCATTATCATCATACACATATATATTTTAACCTTACTAGTATTAAGTCTTCTTTAGCTGAGTTAACTTCTAATCTATAGATATTAATACATTTTACAAATAAGTACGATTATTCCACTCATGTGCTAGAAATCCCATAAGACAAGTGACGATTTTCAGAATTACAGCGAAAATTCTCTTTTCCATTTGTTTAACTAGAGAGAATTACAGCGATAATTCTCCCATGTTATTGTATACATGGTTGTCATGCTAATTTTTGATACAAACAAACGGTTCCTGATAGCAACGATTTATTTGTATTGATTGTTAAGATGTTCAAATCGTTTAATACATATTTATTTCCATATTTTTTGCATTCTCATACGTGAAATAATCCTCTAAATACCACTTGAGCTTTAAAATGAACCAGATAATTTTTCACTCATGCGTGTTTTCTCTGCAAATTCTAGAAAACACGCAATCGTGAAAAATTATCGGTAATTTTAAAGCTCTCGTGGTATTATCCCCGATAACACGATAAAATCGCTTTTTACGCAAGCACATAAAGAATTAAATTACACTTATGATTCCTATGGGACACTAAGTTCATTTAACCCCTTAGTCCCCTTACTTTTCAAAAAGCGTGGATTGATAAATTTCCTTGGACGCTCTATAAAGTTCATTACAGGTAATTTAGACGATGCTGATCTAGAGAATATAAACCAACACATGCAAATTTTGAGGAATAATCAAATTAATTCTATGCACGAGATCAACGAACTAAGTTCATTCGCCAGGCACATAACTGCTCGATTCCAAGAAAATGTAAACATTATAAATGAGAATTCAAGCAAACTTAAAGCCAAATATAGATGTTTTAAACGACACAATAATGCTTCTAGTAGAAATGCAAAATCAGCTTTTACAAATAAAAAAATCTACACTCTTACTTAGAAAAACTATTGCAGACTTTAACCTTTGCTCATTTAGAAAGCCTAGAACTTGAAATTTTAAATACACAAGAAATAAAGGAAATTTGGAATTATTTAGAAGTTCAATATCCAAAAAACTTATTATGGCCCATAAAGCACATAATAGAACTTACTTTAATTTGCAAAACTGGGTTAATTTTATCTGATGACATGGTAATTCTAGTATGTAGTTAAGATCCCCATTTTTGAAATGAAACCATGTAATTTAGATATTAAATATCCTATTCCTACAATTAAAAAAACGATTTTAATTAGTCCTAGCAAATACTATTGTAATAACTTATGGTATACAAAGTGTTCAGAAATTAATACAAAGTAAATATGCACTGATCCTATAATTAATGGATGTAACTTATTAACAGATTGTACTTTTGCAAAAATTAGTAATAATTATAAAGTTCACACATTAACCTATCATAAGGGTCTTTTATTTTGTACGAAAACTTCTGAAAGTGTTTTTGAAAATTGTTTTCAATTTATTAAACATAATTTGACAGGGTATTCTTATATTCAGAGCCAATGTGATGTAATTATTGGTCACTATAAATACGCTCTACAATCAAATGGTATTAAGATTAAAAATCCTGAAATCCAAAGTAACGTATTAAATTCAAACTTATCTCTGAACTTACAACTTAAGCACCTAATGTATCCTGAAAAAATTACAAAAGACCTTAGGGAACCCGTAGTATTTAAGGACTTTGTTTCAGCAAAAACTCATGCAACTAGTACTATTGTATTATTTCTTATATCTGTACTAATTCTTATACTAGTTGTGTATTTATGGCAAACGAAAAAGTCGATCCCCCTGAAAACTCTACAGGACATATTCAACGAGGACGTTGAAGAATCTTAAGGGAGGAAGAGTTATAGACATGAACCAATACGTAAACTGCCAATACCAGGAATATATAGCTCGACTCAGCATAATCATAGAATAAGCATATTTTGTATTTTATTATTTTATGGGAGCTTTTTACATAGAATAAGTTTAGTCTTTGGTCACACACTGTACCAGTAAGTTAAGTCTTATCAAAATAAATCTTTTTTTAAAAAGAATTCTACTGGTTTGAGTATTTAACTCCCTATCTTTTTTTAATTCTCAATGTTAAAAGGAGAAAAGTATAGTCGAAAGTCAAAAGTGAAAAGGATAGTGATAGTAATCATTTTCAATGCTGTGAGCATACTGGTGACGACGTCATACTGAAGAGTATTATATTAAAAAAGTTTTTGAATGATATCTTAAAAACTGTTCATTAAACATTAGCGCAATGATAACATTTGTTCAGGACGACTCCCTATACACAATATCAAAAATTCATCAAAATTCCACATATATCACTTTTCCATAAGAAATGTGCGGGGTCCTTCAAATACCTACTAACCGAAACAATTACTAATGCTGGGATGAGTGTTCGACGCCATTGCGAAGTTATCGGTTACAGGTGAAGTCACTGGAGACGAGGTTTCTGATCTCAGCTCTGGTGCCTTCTGCGATTTGCGAATGACTGCTGCTTGACGATGGATATTTTGCGTCAATTGTCAGAATGTTTTTATGTATAAAGTTGTAATGGGGATTGGGATCTTCTACGTTCTATATAGTGTTTCTTCTAATGAACTCGAGTGTCTGAATTGCCAAGAACACGGATGTGCAGGATGTAGGTACCGGTTAGGAAATTTATTGAGTAAAAGTAATTAACAAAATTTTATCTACAAGCGTGCGGTAACTAAGGTATATTACACGATTTTGCGTGCGGTAAGTACCACATTACCGCACGGCGTGCGGTAAGTGTATTATTTCAAAATGTATTTTCACACCAGCAACGCAGCGGGTAATCAGCTAGTTACTAATATTTGAGGCAGATTCCAACAACACTTATTACATTAGTACATAATTTCTTGAGCTTGGTTGACAAACTAAACCTTATCATTCTTATCGTTACCTATAGACTTTGCTTATATTAACCTTTTATCAGAGGTCCGATTATCGGACTCTGAACAATCTTGGTAGATAAAAATAATTAGCATATAAAAAGCAATTGACCTGATTGCGAGAATTTTTTTTTATTTGTAATTTTGTGTTGATAAAGTATATGTGTTAATGATGGCGTTTAAAATATTAGCATTGTTACCATTAATTCTGGGACAATGTTTTGCCGCAAATATATTAGCGGTACTTTTCTTTCCCGGTGTAAGTCATTTTCAAATGTTTAAGCCTGTTTTGAAGGAACTGGCCCGAAGAGGACATAGTGTTGATGTGTATAGTTCGTTTCCGTCGGATGAGAAAATTAAAGGGTTAGAATTAATTAACAAACAAAGAGCAAATTTCCCATTAAACTAAAACTTCTTTTTTCTAGATATACCGATATCGTACTCGAAAGCAGTGCCCCAAAGTTAACAAATAATGTCACATTCCAATATTTAAAAAACCTTCAAGGTACCATGTCAATTATCAACTTATCAACTACCTTTGGAGCTAAAGCATGTGATGCCGTCTTCAAATCAACACAAATGCAGTATCTCAAAAACTCTACCAAAAACTACGATTTAGTTATCACTCAACTATTTAGCACTGAATGTTTGTTGGGATGGGGTTGGCATTTTGGTGCACCCAACGTTGTTATGACGTCCAGTGTTAATTTACCATGGAGTGCTTATATGTTTGGAAATCCAGATAATCCTTCGTACATACCAACTTATTTGGCTAAAAGTGGAGTTGTGATGAATCTCTATGAAAGAATTGTGAATACTTGGGATCTGGTAATGTCAAAATTAATGTGGGTATACTAGCCATGGAACTTCCAGTATAATATTGCATTCATTTTAATATTTTAGTTATTGGTGGTACAGTTCCTTGCCTTCAAATCAAGTGGCCAAAGAATTTTTCGGCCAAGATATGCCAGATTTAGATATTTTAGCTCGAAATATCAGTTTACAACTAATCAACACCCATTTCAGCATTCTGGGTGCCATACCTTTGGTGCCCAATATAGTTGAAGTGGCTGGATTGCACATTCAACAACCCAAACCTGTAGACAAAGTAATTAGTGCCGTAATAATTAAAAATGTTTATTAATAAGTTTCTTTATAGTACTTTGATGGAGTTTTAACTACTGATAAAAAAGGCATTATATATTTTAATACTGGAACTCTGATAAAATCAGAAACATTCCCAATCCAGACCACGCAAGCTATATTTGATGCATTTGCCCAGTTGCCTTATAAAGTAATTTGGAAAGCTACCAAGGAGAATTTTCCAAATGGTTTAAGTTTTCCGGAAAATATTCATTTTGAAAAATGGCTCCCACAACAAAACATTTTGTGTGAGTAGCTTGAGTAAGTTTGATCAAACCTTGAATATTATTTATCATTCATTTGTAGGTGATCCAAGAGTGAAACTATTTGTCTCACACGGTGGTATGTTTGGCACACAAGAAACCGTGTACTGTGGCGTTCCAATACTGGGAATACCCTATTTTGCCGATCAATTTTTGAACATCAATCAAGCAGAGGCTGCTGGTTTTGCCAAAATGCTGGATTTCGATAATATTTCAAAGGAAACTGTATTAGAGGCGGCAAAGGAATTATTAGATAATCCAAAGTAAGTACATAGATGGCTTATTGCATGTTTATAAGTTATTCTTCCACTGCCATTAGTTCACTTCATTGAGCCTCATTTTTGTAGGTACCTTCAAAAATCAAAAGAAATCTCACACCAGTTTAAAGATAGACCTTCATCTGCCATGGACACTGCCATTTATTGGATAGAATACGTAATCAGACACAAAGGGGCACCTCAACTGCAAAGTCCCGCTAAAAATCTGACATGGTACCAGTATTATCTTCTGGATGTATTTATTGTTGCAGTTGGAATACCTTCAATTTTAATTAGTTTATTTGTAAAATTAATTAGTAAAATAGTTGGTTCTAATGGTTCTAGAAGACATAGAAATAAGAAGGTTAAAACGAAATAAGAACATTTAAGGAGTTGTGAATAAAAAAGAGCTTTTTTAAATAAATCGAAATCTTCAGTAATGTTTTTACAGGACTTGTCCAACACCTGATAATATGCGGTTCAATGGGAAATCAGAATTGATGCGTTTTAATTAAATTAATAAAAACAAAAATATAGGTATTATCAAGTTTTTATGCAGGGTGTCCTTAGATAAAGTGACAAATTCATAATTCCATTTTTGAACCTAAGATCCACTCGTGGTTTTTTTTGTCCGATAGAAAAACCCTACTGAATGAACCCTGAAAGTTTGAAGTCTCTCTGATTGCTTGAAGTATTTTTCAGAAGCTTTCAAAGGTGATTCAATAGAAATTTTACATGATTTTTTTGCATCTTAGTGAGAACAATCCACATCTCGTTGTCTTTTCTCAATTTCGAGACATTTACCTGTAAAATGTGTCAGTTTATCTATGAACACGAACACACTGGGTATTGTAGCATAGGCATTGTTTGCATTTATTAAATTGGGCAAATACAAAGAAAAGAAATTACATAATAAAACATATTTTATTAGTTGTTGCTACTTTTACCAAATAATATTTCCACAAGATTATGATGATGTTTGTGATATCTAAATATTTACTAGTAGGTATTTGATAAAAAAAAAAAGATAATAGTTTCTTAATAAATTATTCAGATAGTTGCATTCATTTGGTGGTAAAACAATGTTTTTCAACATTTTTCTAGTGTTATTTTCAATTCTACATCAATGTCTTGCATCAAATATATTGGCAGTTTTCATATTTCCTGGAATAAGTCACTTCATGATGTTTCAGCCTCTATTAAAAGAACTAGCTAATAGAGGACATAATGTTGATGTCGTTAGTCACTTTCCTTCGACTACGCCAATTGAAAGGTAAAAATGTTTGTGTTTATTCATTAAAATTCCAATAAAAGTTATTCTAGATACACTGACATCTCAATCAGAGGTTTGACTCAAATAGTAACAAACAATTTAACATTTTCTGCAGCCAAAGACTGTCAAGGACAAAGAATGATAAAAATGTTAGCTCGAGAGGGTGGTTCAGACTTATGCGATACTATCCTCAAATCGCCCATATTACAAAAATTGAAAAACTCTACCAAAAACTACGATTTAGTTATCACTCAACTATTTAGCACTGAATGTATGTTGGGATGGGGTTGGCATTTTGGTGTACCGAACGTTGTGTTGACTTCGAGTGTTAATTTGCCATGGGCTTCGGAAAGGTTTGGACTACCTGATAATCCTGCTTATGTGCCGAATTATTTTGGGAAAAGTGGGACAGTGATGAACCTTCACGAGAGGATTGTGAATACATGGTTGCTTGTAATATCAAAATTAATGTAAGTACTTACATATATTTATTTTAATTTTGAATATAGGTTTTTTAAAATGAAGTGATATCAGAGATAAAATATCAAGAAATGGATCTGCTGTCGCCACAGAGACCAAAAAGAAAGGACAGGGTTCAGAAAATCTGGGAGACTACGTTCATCTCTTCAGCGGGGTTCAAAAAGAATTCAGAGCAAAGAAAAGAGTCACGATCTTCATACACAGAAAATGGAGAAAACATATAACATCCTGGGAAGCAGTAAACGAAACAATAATCTAACAGTATCTAAGTTCAAATAAGACACGAGACAAAGAAATATATAAAGAAGCACAAGCAAGAGTAAGGAATAAAATAGTACAGGAAAAAAACGAGTTATGGGAAAGAAACTGTGCGCATATTAATACACTGCTGGGAGGTAAAAGAAACACAGAAAGTTGGACATTACTAAAAAACATGAGGAAAACAAAAACCAAGGATATTATCAATACAATAACACCCCAGCAATGGAAAGAGTACTTTGGATAGACTTTGCTTTGGAGAATTACTGACAGAACAACGGGCGGAGTTCAAAGAAGAAAAGGAACAGATACGGAACATAAAAACTGCAGGATCCCCAATAAGAGTTATGCAAGAAGTTAAAAAACACTGTAGCTTCTTGAAAAATGGTAGGGCACCAGGCCCAGGAGAACTGATAAAGTATGGGACTATGGGACCAATAAACTCTACGAACATTCAACAAAACTATTTCAAACATGCATAGATAAACATGAAGTACCGGAAGAGTGGAAAATGAGTTACTTAAGGTTTAAAGTCAGGCCTATAGTTTATTACAGCAACGCTGTCGCCCCTATAGTGTGCCCTAACTTGACTGTCAAAAAAAATAGAAATCTTCATTTGGTTAAATTGTGTGATGGAACGTTTTTTCTTTTTTTGGCGGAAATTCGGAGTATTATTCTGTTTTACATAAACAGGGTTGTAGTTTAGACCAACGCAAATAATTTTAAACGTTCATCCGTCGGATTTTTTTCTAAACAGTGGAGCTACGGGCGTATTTCTAACTATTTTTGCAGTAGCGAGAAAACTACAAGTTCAAAAAATTTGAAAAAAATATATGTCGCGTAGAATTGCAGTAGTAGTTCATAATAAAAATAATGGGAAACTTCATCTATTCGTTTTGAAATAAATTGTGAAAAACTACTTTTTTTCCAGTTTTTGCGATATAACTCAAAAATGGCGAGTCAAATTTGCTTAAAAAAATTATGGATTAAAGTATATCTATAACCATAACCTGATAGGTCGAAACGCGTCTATGGATGGAAAAGCAAAGAAAATTAATCCAAAATTTTCTTATAACCATAAAACATATATTTTTTTTGAAATTTTTGAACACAAGGTGCAGAAAATAGGGGTTGACTTTAAACCTTAAGAACGATATATAAGAAATTTATGAAAGCCAACATAGAGAACGAGTACAAAGTGTGAAGCAGAAGAACAGGTTGGTTTTATAACAAGAAGATCAACTGTAGACCACTTATTTAGTTTGACCCAGGTAATAGGAAAGAAACTGGCGTATAAACAAGAACTCCATTCACTCTTTGTAGATCTAAAGAAAGCATATGACAATTGTCCGCTGAAAAAGCTTTGGGAAGCACTGGAAAAGACCAATATCAACTTAGAAAAGTCAGTAAAAAGGCTCTATAGTGATGCAAAGGCTAAGATAAAACAGGGAAACGTGATCGGTAAAGGCTTTATAGCAACTAAAAGACTTGAACAGGGATGCTGCATATCACCAACACTTTTTAAAACATACTTAGAACAATAACTTCAAGGGGTGAAAAACAAATGCAAACACATGGGAATACAGCACAAAATTAATACAGGAATACGAGCAATGGGGTTTGGAAGTAAATCTAACTAAAACAGAATATATGTACCATAGGAGGCGAACAAAGAACTCTGAAATTTGAATAACGGACAAGAAATAAAACAATACAAATTTTTGGGCATGAAAATCTCACATGAGGGAACCCTGCACCCTAGGCGAAGCGATTAAAGCTCGGGATATACAAGGACGCAAGGCAATATCCCTACTAAATGGTGTGCTCTGGGACCAGAATATCAACAAAACTAACAAAACTACAATATACAACACTGTAGTCAAAAGCATAGTTACATATAGTTCAGAAGTCTGGCCACTAAAGAACAGAACCGCAAAAATACTGGAAGCAACTGAAATGGACTTTTGGAGGGGACCGGCAGGCAAGTCAAAAATGGAAAGGATAACAAATCTGAGAATTAGGGAGATTATGGACGTAAAGCACACAATAGTAGTAGATGATATAAAGGACAAACAGCTGATTTGGTTCGGACATGTACAAAGAATGGCAGATGCAAGAATACCCAAGGAAATTATTGAGTGGAAGCCAGGGGGAAGAAGAAGACGCGGCAGACCAAGAAGAAGCTGGAGAAGTGGAGTAGACGATGAGATGACAGACAGAGGCTTACAGGAGGATGCCTGGATTGACAGAGATGGTTGAAGGACGAGAATCGGAAAACGTAGAACGTTATAAACCGATAATTACATACAGAGTGTACCGTTTAAAATGAAACAGGCTAAATATCTGATGCCACGTTTATTTTTAAAAAAATCGCTTCTGTCATGGAATTTGGAGGTTACAAATGCCATAAACAACAGGAATTAAAATTATACTGTTGCATAAATTGCTTTGCAATTGTGCATAAATCCTGCTGGGACCGACAAAAAAATTGGACACATGTAGTGTAGACACAAAATGTATTGTTCAAATAACTGTAGGTTGAAAGGAGAACGACAGGCACGTGTAAATCATTTAGAAGATCTTAAAAGCAACTGTAATGAACTTGAAGAGGAACTCAAACAAAAAGATGATCTTATTAGAAAACAAGAACCAAGAACAAAAGTGGCAATTTTTTCTCTCGGAAGCCAAAAGATGATCTCCCAAAATGATGGTCTTAAACAACAAGTTAAAGCACTACAGCAAGAGCTAGAATCAGCGAAAAGAAATCTTAATCTAAACATACAATGTGAATGTGCTACAAAGAAAAAAAACTGCTACAAAAGCATGGCAAACTAATGATCACACCATCAAAACACAAACACTTCACAGTCCAAAAAAAATAGCCTCTTCACAGACTACACAGACCCAGTTGAAATTAAAAAAAGTGTGCACAATCCAAACACAAAAAACAGCTATTTCACAATCCTCGGACATCCATGTTGATTCACCCCAAACATGTGGAACGCAAACAGAACTTGACGACGAGATGGTTGAGGATCTACTCTTTAGAAATGCCATTTTGAAAATTCACGTTGACAAATCAATTTAGACGGAACCCTCCGAAAGGAACCCAAAACCTCCAATGTCGGTGCCAGCATTTCCGAATAAAGCTGAAATCCACAAGAAGAAACCTCACATTTTACTGATCTCAAACACTCACCTAAAAGGAATAGTATTCAGCTGTGTAAGAAAATTACAGATGGGAATTTTGATGAATATAGCCAATATCTTCAAACATTCGATGATGTCTTGAAAGAAACCCAGCGGTGTGCAAAGAGACTCACAGCAAATGATAAGATTTTATTAGTCTCTGGTCCTCAAAATGCAATAAAGGACTGCAAAATCGACATCAAACTACTTGAACAAGTTGTTAAAGAAACATTTAACGCACAGCTAATAATAGTAAACTGCCTATTGTCAGAAAATCGGCCTGTACTGAACAGCTATATCACAAAACACAACGTGTAATACTGAAGAATGCTTTAAAATCCACATCAACAAGTCTCTTTGATGCAGAAAATATATTAACCCCACAAAATATGTCAAATGACGTGTCCTGGACTGAAAAAAGTTGGAGTCAACTCTTGTGTGTGTTTTCCAGAAAAGTGAAAACCAAAAAGTGAAACATCTCTAAGTGAAGAGTTTAGCTATGTTAAGGAAAATGAAATAATCATGAAACGTCTCGAAGAGCTTCGGAAACCAATTCCTTCCAATCCAAAAATTACTGTTCTACAAGATATTTCATTAGTACCAGCCAAACCAACCAGAGTCCAAAGAGACATCAAAAACAACGAAAAAAAATTCTGTCTAAGACATCAGTATTTCCTGCTAAGAGCGAATTAAAAAATAGGCCCTTCATTGTCATAAAAAAATCCACCAAAAGCAAAAAATCAACCACAGGAAATTATCTATACGATAAATAACACACCAAGTCAATCTGATACTAAACTGGCAAAAATCAGTTTTTCGGCCGAGCAAAAACTTCGACACTGGATGGCACCCCATCTACACCTAAATGCAGCTCGGGAGGGATTAAAAAAGTCGAATTCGGTAATTCCAGAAATAAATGCTTATTAATGCAAATGAACTCAAGAAGGCTTGTAACAAAGCAGACGATATCTCTGTATTTTTAAATATTCATCAACCATAGATTGTAAGCCTAGCCGAACACTAGTTAAGCTGTTTACAGGACTATGCTCTAGTAAATTCCTTTTCGAGATCCAATGCAAATGATTATTTGCAAAATCAAACACAAACATAGTACCACAAATTTTCAATATTGAACAGCAGGAGGCTAGTTTTGAGTACACTTGCGGTAAGACAAAACTTGAAGATAAAAAAATCCTTATTATCTGTCTCTAGGAGTCCTGTAAGTACAAATATAGACCAACTTCTAATCATGCTAAGTAAATTACTATCTGTTGCAAGCAAAAAATTTAAAAACCTTTTCGACAGGAGATTAGGAGATTTTAACCTTAACACCTTAGAAATCACTTCCAAAGTCACGGAATTCCTAGATTTGGTGGGATGTTTTGGACTGACAAACCCCCTACAAGAAGCTACCAGAAAGGGTAAAACTAAGGATTCATTATTAAACAAAATTTACACCAATGAACTATTTTACACTAACTACAACGGAATTTTTTTACTGACAGTGGAAAGCTGTCATTTCTCAGATCATGACGCGGTTATT